TTGACCCTCCGCCGGCGATCGGGTGACGTCGACGGCGAAGAAGAATAGGAGCGCCGTCTGGATCGACGCTTGTGCCGGCGACGATGGGAGCCGGAGGAGGAGTCGTCAATCGACGTCGATCTATGGCGACGTCGAGAGCGTTTGTGCCTATCTCTGCTGTCTCTACGAGGTGAGACAGAGCGATCCCTTGAGCAATGCTTCCTCTTCGCCGACTTTTCCCTCGGTGGCGAGGAAGGGTGGGGAGGTGGAGGAGATATCGATGGAGCCGGTGAAGCCCGCCCAGAAGACACAGGGCTAACCGGGGCAGAACCCAAGCTTGTTGTTGCTCGAACAAGCTGGCTTGGCGTCGGGGAGGGAGCGCCAAGGGGTATAGCCGGCTCAGGCTGACGAGGAGGAAGGGGGGTAGCCGCCCCCGATGTCGAATCTTTGTCTCTCGACAAATCCTCCAATAAAGGCGAGAGAAGGTCGACAGATCCCGGCAAAGCTTGGGATACAGCGTCCTTAGCCTTTGTAGAAGCCTTAGTTTTTGCCTGTTTTGCAGGTTTTGCGGGAACCGCAGCCTTGGACGTCGCAGATTTCTTAGAAGGCTTCTTAGCTTTTGCAGGTAAGTCCGAAGGCTTACTGTCTACTGCAAGGCTCGGGGCGCCCTCGGAATGGGAGGCTGAAGAGGTGGAAGAAAGCTCCATGGGCGAAGGTTGGGAGGCAGCCAGGGCTGAATTCCAAAGGTGTAGTTTTAGCCTCTGTTGTCGAGCCTTCAGAGCTGCCTTGGTAAACGCCTGGCAATGTTCACAGCTCTGGGCTGAATGGGATTCTCCCAGGCAAAACAGACAAGTGTCGTGCCCGTCCTGAAAAGGGATTTTACCCGAGCAGACGACACAGCGGCTAAAGGGGCCCGAGGGTGGAGGGGGCATAGGAGAATAGAGTACTCGCAACGGCCGTTGGAAAGGGCGGGAAAACGCGAGACTCACAAGCGGTAAGCAGAGCAGCCGCTGAAGAAAAATAAGTCCGATAGGCAATAGAAGAAGTCGTAAGACGCGCAATAGTCGAAGAACCGGGGAATCCTGACGAAAATAGCAATAAAAAAGGGCGAGAGTAGTGGAGCTCTACCGAGAAGAACCATTCCACACGGCGGAGAAATGGAACTGAGGATTGGGCGGGCGGAGCATGCGCAGTATAGATAATGTTGACAATGTTTCTCTTGCAGAGCTCTGGAACATTCCGAGAAGACCAGCGCAGGCGCTGACTTAACCCCTTATTGTGTGCATTCACAGAAGACCACGCAGAAGAACCATGTTTTTAGTTGGTTTTTGAACACACCCAGCGAGGGTGCCAGCCGAATTTCAGTGGGAAGTGTGTTCCACAGCCGAGGGGCAACTGCCGAGAAGGCCCGGTTTCTTGTTTTCTCCTTCCGGGCCTCCCTCGGCGTCAGTCCCCTCAGCCGTCCCTGCTGGCTATGTCGGGTGACTCGGAACCTTTCTTGACCTAAGAAAAAAAGAAACAAAATATCCCCCTCTAGTGGTGGAAGGCGGAATAGCAGCTTCCCATTAGTTTCTATGGATGGAAAAGAGCACATACGGATCAAATGGTTTTCAATGCATTCCTATGGGAAATGCAGATTTGACTTGAGAACTTTTTGACTTGAGAACCGCCTTCCAATACGGATTAAGTTCTCAAGTCAAGACCCCATTGTAAAAGTGTTGACGCTTGCCCCTGAGAACCATGGGAGTTGTAGATTGCTCATTAGTGAAAATATTTTGAATAGATTCTGAGTTCCATTCATGGTATTACAAAGCCTCACTTGCAGCAAGCACAGTTTCATGCTAATTGTATATACTGGTAAAGGTTACGTGTACTATGATTAGTTAGTATACAATTAAATGTCTAACATTTACTGTTTGTATTTTACTTAGTATTCTTTTTATTTACCCTTAATTCTATAGGGATTCATTTTTTCCCCTCAGACTTAAAGTAAGTGGGCCATCTCACATTTTTGGTCTGGTTGTTTCTGTTTGTTTCTAATACTGCTGTACATCCTGTAACAATTACATGTACTGCTTTATTTATTGCCTAACATTTTTGATAGTGTAAAGTATTCTTTGGGTTTTTTTTCAGAATTTAGAAACTGATTTAACAGAAGCAAGGGGGCAGATGGAAGTCTTACACAGTAGATGCAACCAACTGGCATCCCAGCTGAATGCTAAACAGACTGAGCTAACAGAAAAAGATTTGGATATGGACAGAATTAGGTATGTATACCACAGTTTTGTACGGGGATTGTGAACTTTCTTATGATAATAAATATGGGAAATGTCAAATTGTTTTGGATTTTTAGAAAATCTCTTTTGATGCTTGGCACATTGTGGGAATATAGGATATCTACTGTCAATGGAGACTATTGCAATGCCTTTTGGCTTCAGTTATAGACATTATTTTAAGAAAGCATTGTCGGAACCTGGCATCTGATGAAGGATTGCTCAATTCCTGAACAGAGAGTGTCTGGGTGTTTGCGTACTCCCAAACGGCTGAGCAGAGTCTGGGTGGTTCTGGGTTTTTCGGGCTCGTTGGCCGTGTTCTGAAGGTTGTTCTTCCTAACGTTTTGCCAGTCTCTGTGGCCGGCATCTTCAGAGGACGGCAACCTGTGCTCAGGTTGCTGTCCTCTGAAGATGCCGGCCACAGAGACTGGCAAAACGTTAGGAAGAACAACCTTCAGAACACGGCCAACGAGCCCGAAAAACCCAGAACCACCCAGACTCTGCTCAGCCGTTTGGGAGTACGCAAACACCCAGACACTCTCTGTTCAGGAATTGAGCAATCCTTCATCAGATGCCAGGTTCCGACAATGCTTTCTTAAAATAATGTCTATAACTGAAGCCAAAAGGCATTGCAATAGTCTCCATTGACAGTAGATATCCTATATTCCCACAATGTGCCAAGCATCAAAAGAGATTTTCTAAAAATCCAAAACAATTTGACATTTCCCATATTTATTATCATAAGAAAGTTCACAATCCCCGTACAAAACTGTGGTATACATACCTAATTCTGTCCATATCCAAATCTTTTTCTGTTAGCTCAGTCTGTTTAGCATTCAGCTGGGATGCCAGTTGGTTGCATCTACTGTGTAAGACTTCCATCTGCCCCCTTGCTTCTGTTAAATCAGTTTCTAAATTCTGAAAAAAAACCCAAAGAATACTTTACACTATCAAAAATGTTAGGCAATAAATAAAGCAGTACATGTAATTGTTACAGGATGTCCAGCAGTATTAGAAACAAACAGAAACAACCAGACCAAAAATGTGAGATGGCCCACTTACTTTAAGTCTGAGGGGAAAAAATGAATCCCTATAGAATTAAGGGTAAATAAAAAGAATACTAAGTAAAATACAAACAGTAAATGTTAGACATTTAATTGTATACTAACTAATCATAGTACACGTAACCTTTACCAGTATATACAATTAGCATGAAACTGTGCTTGCTGCAAGTGAGGCTTTGTAATACCATGAATGGAACTCAGAATCTATTCAAAATATTTTCACTAATGAGCAATCTACAACTCCCATGGTTCTCAGGGGCAAGCGTCAACACTTTTACAATGGGGTCTTGACTTGAGAACTTAATCCGTATTGGAAGGCGGTTCTCAAGTCAAAAAGTTCTCAAGTCAAATCTGCATTTCCCATAGGAATGCATTGAAAACCATTTGATCCGTATGTGCTCTTTTCCATCCATAGAAACTAATGGGAAGCTGCTATTCCGCCTTCAACCACTAGAGGGGGATATTTTGTTTCTTTTTTTCTTAGGTCAAGAAAGGTTCAGGGAAGGCAGGGAAAATACAGTCCAGGCAGTAGAGGACCAGGCAGTCCGAAGACTGTCTCCCAATCCACTCTCTAAACGCTGGGAGGAGGGAGGAAGCAGACAGGCACCCTTTTCACTGGCCAACAGTTAACTGAAAGTTCACATTTTGCACTTTCCCTGCCTCCCACGTGGTTTTTTTCAGTTCTTAACTCAAATCTAAGTATGTAAGTCAAGTCAATATTTTTCTATGAGGGTGCTTCTTAAGTCAAAATGTTCTTAACTCAAGCCATTCTTAAGTCAAGACTCCACTGTACATACTTCTGCTATGCAGATATGTCTACAAAACTACTAACCTAATTCAATAATTTACAGTATTAGTACTTTGGCAAAACTCTCTACATAAAATATAACTTTTCAAATGCACACAATGTCTTACTTATCTATTCACTAATGATTTATAGGACCACCGCAATAAATATATAATACCTACACAAATAGCAGTTGTTTTAAGCAATGTGGCTCTTAAAGAACCACAGGTGCATCACACATCAATTCTATGGCATATGCCTATAAACGGACTACCTCAAGATCTGTATATATGAAGCAGCATATTAAAATAGTAAAGAGAGATGACTTTTATCATAAACAGTACAAAGTGAATTAAGTAAGATTATACCAGAATAGAAAAATTAATCATTACTGAATGAATCCCTCCAAAGGATAATTACAAAAGTTAAGGATGATTACAAAATGCTGTGTTTGTGGCGATATAATTATATTAATGAAATGAACAATACAATCCTGTGCTCGTTTAGCATGCTCCAGATGACTACTGTTAGAGCAGAAATTTTGCCTAGCTAGACCTCTGGGTCTGATCTGGCAATGCATACTGTTATGCACAGGATTCGACTGCCAGTCTCATGGGGCAGAAGAAGTCCTAGAGTGACAGAATTCTTTCTGGAGATATATATATATATATATATGTTTTTTTAAAAAAATACATGTTTATATGTGAATGAAATATCTTTTATTATTTAATGATTACATTTTAGGGTGGCTATTTGAAGTCAGTTTCTTGCTTTGCAACATCAATTTTTAAAAAGCTTTGGGGCTTAAGTGAAAGAATGTAAATGAATGTCAGTCCCCATTGGTGGTTATGAATATATAACTTGTTATTTAAAGAAAATAACATGTAGGATAAAGCCTGTGAGAAGCAAGTTCTGAAATCATATCCAGGAGCCTCTTCTTTCTCATACCTTTATTTTTGCATCGATGCCAGATTTTTCTATTCTCCATTGTGCCTCCTGCTTCCTCAGTTTCTCCAGGTTATTTAGCAGGTCAGCATAGCGTGTACTTAATCCCCCATTTTCCTCCTCCAGATTTTTTATAACAAGTCTGCTTTGCTCATCCTTTCTAAGTGCACGCTCCTCGGTGTCCTGTAGAACAGTACCACAAGGGCCGATAAAAAAAAAGAAGGAGGAGGAGGAGGAGGTGGGGGGAACGTGAAAACTAATCAGCAAATATAAACTGTGCAGTTTTACCCTCACAGCAGCTTCTTATATATTTGATGGCCAAGGTCACCTGTGTACTTTTATTGGCCTCTTTCATGCAGGTGGAAGGGTCATATTTTTTAGCTGGATGACAGCTTTGATGAGTACACATTTGCAAAGAGCCCATTAATTGATCAAGCTGCCTTTGATGCTGTCCCCAGCTATTTTTGAGACCCACACAGACATATCCTCCCAGACCTCGGCTTTATCAATTAATAATGCCAGTCCCATCAGAATCTAATTACATGAAGCCACATCTTCACACTCCTACTTTTTTTGCTCCATTTCCATCATTAACTATTTATTGGAAAGTTAGAAAGCATGGATTCTTCACTTTAAAGTATCTTTCTCCGAATTTTGTGCATGAGAGAAAACTGGAAGGTACAGCCCAAGGCCTAAGGCTATATTTTCTCTGAGCTTGTCACTTTCCATGCCACAAAGACAGATGCAGCTGAAAGAGCTACTTCAAAGCTGCGGCCATCTTACTGCTATGTAGAAGTCAATATACCTTAAGTTCCTGGATTTTATCTTTAAATTTCTGTTGTAAGATGCAGAGCTCATTCTTTAAGGCAACATTCTCCTCATCTACAGCAATCTTCCTTTTTACCAGATTATTTATCTCCTCTTGCTGCCCGCATGTTCTCTAAGGGAAAAAAAAAGGTTACTTAAAAAAATAAAAGCAACATTATTTAAACAATGTTTAACTATTTGGAACATTCATTTCCATGCACCAAATTGACCTATATTGTTATCTTGACATTTCCTTAACCTTCACATCCAATGCAAAACTTTTTTCATTGATAAACACATTAATTTCACTGTTGTTTAAATGAACTATTACATTCCCATCTGAATTAAAAAGAAAAGAACTTGAAAGCACTGGCAAGCCTTGGGCAGAATGTAATATTACCATTCACTCTTACATCCGTGATGTCAGTAATGGTGGTGAAGTTGGTAATGCCTGAGAGCTCAGAATCACTAACCAAGGAGCCAGGGAGATATTTTTGCTGACCATGTAAATTCCTCACCTAAACTAAAATCTTTCACAGTACATCCAGATTAGCCACCCAGATGAACAAGCAGGTTATATGAATGGAGACATCAGATCTTGTCACAATGACATATGCACAAGTCACAGCTAGATCAGATTACTGCAGTGCACTTTCTGCAAGGCTATCTTTGAAGATTCTTCGGAAACTGCAATTGGTCCAGGATGTAGCACCAAGAATGCTTGTGGGTACTTTGTTATGTTGGAAGGACTTCTTTGTGGTCACAGCTAAATTCCTGAACTCCTTGCCCCTGGAGGCTTGGTCTGCTTCCTGTGGAATAGTGTTTCACCTTACTGTGAAACTTCCTTTTTCAGACAGATTTGTAAAAAAACAAAACAGATAAGTACATTTTATCTGTTATTCTCTGTTTTATTGTTATTTCTTTTGGAGTTTTATTGTATTTTATCACTGGACTTTCATTTCTTTATCAGCTGACACTCAACATTCTCCATAGGATAGCTATCAGTCATGCTCAATTCTCACTGGGTGTTCTAGGAGCCCCTTCAATTTTTTTCCTTCACTTCTCTTTACACTTTGGAACATTTTGGGACTCCCTGGGTATTCTAATAAAGTAGCCTTCTTTCTTTGTCCCACTTCAGGGTCTAATCCTATCAGTTTTAATAACAAGACACACAACAATAGGCTGAAGTTACAGGAAGCTAGACTTCGGTTGTATAGCAAGAAAAACTTCTTCACTGTTAGACCAGTATGGCAATGAAACCAATTATCTCATGAGATGGTGAGTGCTCCAACACTGGAGGTATTCAAGCGAAATTTAGACCTCCACCTGACAGATATCCTTTGATTTGTATGCCTGCATTGAACAATGGTTTGGACTCGATGGCCTTATAGGCCCCTTCCAAATTCATTATTCTATGATTCTACAGTAATTTCTTGTGCAATTTCATTTTAATTTAATTATGGTATAAAAACTGAATTAATAAATAAGATAGGTAAGAATAAAATATATTAATGCTCTAATTAATGCTTGAAGCTAGAGTTGTGTTTCTATCAATTGGTCTTATTTAAGGGAGTTTTAATATAAATTTGCACTGAAAGGCAAAGATATTGGAGTGAAGATAATGAAGCTGCTAGTAGTATTTTAACCTTTCTGGAGTATAAGTGGTTGATAAAGTTCTGAAATATTAAAAGGTCTAGGACAAAAAGATTAACTTTAGTTTCTTCAGATCAAAGCTGACAGCTAATTAAATAACTCTGTAATAAAGAAGATTGTACAAGTTTACTGTACCTTTATTCATCATAAATTTATACCTCACAGGAAAAAAACTATTTAGAAATATTATTTCACTATAAAGAAGTAACATACATGGCCAGACACAACAATATGGTGCAATATGGCTTATAAAGTCAGAAGTCCCTGCTTCAGATGAAATGTCACTGATGTTGAATTTTTCAACCCAAATCTACAGTGGGGTCTTGACTTGAGAACTTAATCCGTATTGGAAGGCGGTTCTCAAGTCAAAAAGTCTGTAAGTCAAGTCTCCATTGACCTACAGTGCATTGAAAACCGATTAATCCCGTAACAGGCCGTTTTTGTTCCATTTTGGTTTTTTTCTGGTCTGTAAGTCAAATCTCAGTCTGCAAGTCAAACCTAAATTTTGCGGCCAGAGAAGTCTGTAACTCACAAAGTCTGTAAGTCAAGCCATCTGTAAGTCAAGGGTCCACTGTAGAACTGTGTCAACACCAAAGACACTACAGTCCAAATCCCTGCCTCCCCTTTTTTTGGTCATCAATTTCAGCTGTTTCAGAATCATGAGACACTTCTATGAGGAATGTTCAACCTGTAATTCTTGTCCTCCAAGCAAGAGTAAGACAAGGAGCCTGTTTTTTCTTCATTAGGGTCTTCATAACTTCCACAAATTGTCTGGGCAAAACTTGTAGCATTTCCCCTTGGGAAGCAAAGCATGTGTGCATGCGCACACACACATACATACAGAACAACCACACAACAGAATGTAAGAAAAAAAATACAAACATAGGCATGGGACTTTCAGATTTTCTTCATTACAACTCCCAGAGTTTGCCATGAATTCCCCCAATCAGTATTCTGGTAACTGTAGCGAAAAAAATTCAAGTCCTCCTGGAAGTTTCAGTACATATAAGTGTGCCTCAACAAGTATCTCTTTCTCAAGCTACCACTATTAACCTGAAGAAGAAGGGAATGGTTGGGAATGGCTAAACTCTATGGTAGCTACCAGGGATTAGGGAACTGAGAGGCACTCTTTATAAAGCCTAATGAGCAGAAAAATACAATTCCCCTAATTTCTTGCAATTTCTATAAAGTTTAATCAAGTGCACCCATTTCCTTCTTCTTCAGGCTAATGAGGACTTGGACATGGATTTCTTGGCTTTTTACACCCCCTCTCTTAGGACCAAAGGATTGCCAATTACTCTGTGATTGCCTCCCCCCACACGTACACTCACATTGCTCTGAAACTAAAGTTTCTTTTTGGCTGAAAAGACATGAAAAGCAAAAATGAAAAATAAAATTCACAAGGTCAGCACACTGCTATTCAGAAGAAGTGACAGCAGTGAATGAAGGAATAGAACGCAGGTAGCAGAAGACTCATAATAAGCATGAATAAGAAAAACCTCTGTGGCTGTAATAGCAGAAAAAGAAAGGTTACTTACCTGTAACGATGGTTCTTCAAGTGGTCATTCTGTGAATTCACACAAAGGGTTAATACCAGCGCCAGCGTTGGGCCTCTCGGAACGTTTTCTAGCTGCAAGAGAAAAGTAACAATGTTTAGGACTACCCCTACTGCGCACGCCCAGCCTAACCGTCCCTCAGTTCCATTTGTCCGCCATAGGCCCTCGAGTCAGAGAGATGCCAGTGACAGACAGACAGAGGGGAGGCCGGGCGGGATTGTGTGAATTCACAGAATGACCACTTGAAGAACCATCGTTACAGGTAAGTAACCTTTCTTTCTTCATCGTGGTCTTCTGTGAATGCACACAAAGGGTGATTAGCACGCTTACTAACCGGATGGTGGGCTGTCACTGAAGAGCCGATGCTAGCACTGCCCTCCCGAATCTGGTCTCCTCTTTTGCCCTCACGTCCAATCTGTAGTGGGTTATGAAGGTAGAGGCATTAGACCACGTAGCGGACCGGCAGATGTCGGGCAGGTCAACGCCGCGGAGTAAGGCAGTCGACGAGGCTACAGCCCGGGTAGAATGGGCTTTAAGTCC